CAGCTGCATACTGGCATGCATGACGAATATAAACATTCGTGTTAGCTATAAATGGCCGAGTTATTTACTCACTGGCTGTTTTGTATGTCTTAGCTGAAGAGGCTGAATTTATAAAGAGACGTGACATGTCGTTGGAACAATCGATTATCTCTCAAAGTCATAGGAAAAGTTATTCCAATCGAGCAGAAGACCTGTCAAATGAATAAGATGTCGCCGCTTTACCCAATTCATTAGATGAATTTCTAAATACTCCCGACCAACCGTTCGTGAAACTTCTTCAAAGTTCTTTATACAGAAATAAAGATTCATGTCGGCAACTCTTTACTTTAAATTTTCTATGATTTCGATGCAAACATTTAAAAATCTTTATTGATCGATACTTACATTAAAGATTATTTCTTCATCGGTCATATGATAGTAATCTATAAAGGTGCCATACTAAATTTCTTTTAATTTTGATATGTCACATGGACTTTAGTATTCTTTACAAATATTCATCAATACATATTTAAATACTGATATCATCGTAACTTTGAACTTTGACAAAGAATAACAAAGATTGCCATCGATGCACATTTATAATCTCCTTGTTATCGAATTGTATCGGTGGTTAAAGAGAGTTCGAGACACACCAGGTGACAGATGGCAATGTTTATATTATTTATCGACATATTCGGCATTTCATCGGAAGAAGCAATCTGTCGGTAAATGAACGAGAAGACCGATGGCCGCGACGCCGCAAATGTTTACCATTGTAGTTCTTCACGGTTTATACTTAATAACCCGTGATAGCATGCGTGGTGGGATTCTCGGCATTTGGAACCCAATGAGGAAAATTTGATACCTTTTTGACCTCTATTACACCTACATGGCTGACTGGTTGATGGTTATGACAAATAAATATTGAATTCATGTATGAAAAGGTTTACAGAAATTTCAATACACCGTGTGTTTGCCTGTCGTTGATAAGCTCATCAACAGCAGCCGTGGACCCGAGGATTAGCAACCAACAACGAGATCAGTACACCCCAGATGGCATGGGATCGAAACTATAAATTATGCAGATAAAAAATCACAAATAAAATCAGCAGTTGTGTATCGATATTTTGATTTTACAACAGAAATCGATATTTTGATCTGGTAACACAATCGATATTTTAACATTGGTAACGATTGGTAGCAATATTTTGAGAAAGATCTTTATAAACGATTCACGATTAGACGTTTAGCATCTTTACAATTATTCATGAAATGGTGACGATCACTATCGATTTTTCTTATGAATGGCTTTGAAGATCGATGTATAGAAAATTAACGAAATGGTTGGTCGGCTGTAACTAAATAAAATAACTTAACTGTTGGGTACAAGGTAAGAAAAAAGTACCCAAAAGTAAGTTCTTTTCACTCATCTCGGCACTAAAGTGCAGGAACCTAAAAGTAGGTAAAGCGGGTCAAAGTAGTTTTCATTTATTTGTCTGCAATTCGTGTGGAATTTTCCACTAGCTTTCTACCAAAAAGTAAGTTAGTTGTACCCAACAGTAGGTGCATATGATTATACTCAACGTTGGGTTCCCATACTTTACTAACTCTGTTGGGTGGTTTTGCTCTTCTGTTTTTGACAACATTAGAAGGAGCAAAAGATACAAACTACACTGAACGAAAACATTCGCAATAATTCTAATGATTATTGTATTGCTCGAGCCCTTTAACAACATGATGTTGAATTTAGGATGATTTCCTTATGGTTGAATTTGTCATCAACTGATGAGCATGCATATGACTTGAAGGACAGTCATAAAGGATGATATTTATTTGAAAATTGGCTGTAAAACATACAGGGCTCAGAGGGCATCAATTTAAGGATAGGATGACTTGCAAATGCTTTTGATTGGATTATTAATCCGATTGTTTTCATTTCCACATTGAATAGCCATGAACAGCCATTCATCATGGAAACAAAAATTACTTGTTAGTAGACGAAGCTTGCTCCATCACGAAATAGACTATCTACGGTTTCCACGCTTTACCAATATTCGTACTACCTCTGATAGCGATGGCTATGCTTCCACCTCGTTTGTCTACTCAAAGCGGCAAATGACGTTCGATATAATTATTTACAACAGGTTCAATCCCAGCCGAGGTCGGTGCGATTTTCCTGAGGCATAAAAATTTCTGGTCACGTCTTCCTTCGGAAGGGAAGTAAAGCCGTTGGTCCCGGCCCATGTGTGTTGAATGGGTGCGATATCCTACGCAGGTGTGGAAAGCTGCCTTCCTGCACATTCGATTGCCGTCTATGGATGGCAATGTATGTCCGTCCGGTGATTGGCACTAGATTGCGGAACAGAGACCGACGTTACACACTTAGAAATAGCTACTTTTACACGATACGTAATCCATATTGGACGTAAATCAAACAATAGAACAGAAGAACAGAACAACAACAGAAGAATGTAAACAAAAATTTCATGTAAAATTAAGTTTTCTCAAACCGAAACATCAGCTAGTCGACGAAGACAACGTTTGATTGAATTGATTTTCACCTATTTTCACGTTTCTTTCAACTGTTTCTTATGTCAAAAGGCCCGCTTACATGTGTCGGTCCCAGGGAACCGAAATTTACATGACTTTTTAGTATTGTGTAAATATAGGAATGAAAAATTATTTACATCATCGTTTTGAATGATTTGCGTTAAGGGTCTGAACCAATAACAAATGCATTTCAATTTAAGATGACTATCATTCTACAGAGACAATTACGCATTCTAACTGAAGGCCATATCTCTTCTCATAACAATGTTCATCCTGTATTCGAGAGGAAAATCATCTGATTTCAAAACAACCGTCATTCGAAAAGGCGATTTCGATGCTTAGATTTGAATGGTCTGAGGTTTCATTCGAACAGAGGACGGTGGTTTGGTACAGTGTAGTCAAAAGTAGGTATAAGTAAACTAACGGTTGGGTACTTTTTTCTAACCGTGTAGTTTTGTTTTTCGTATACGGGTATACTAGACCTGTTCATTTTAACAAAAATGTTCGGGATGCAACGGGTCAACCATGATTACTATTCGTCACGTTAATTTGAAGTTCTGTGCAAATTTTCAGCAAAGTCGGTGATGATTTAGAGGTGCTTCAAATTAATTTTATGTTTTTAGGGTAATTTACGGCTTATAATATTTGTATCTCGAGACTGAAACAACGAAAACTGCTGTAAAAACTTTCATAGCAAAACCTAATGTGTTATCTATCAACTTTGTTGACTATTCGAAGTGATTTTATTGAAGTTTGACTTAGTTTCATGCTTGAAGATATCTTGAAAAGTGAAGAATTCTAAAGTATTTGTTCTACGAACTTTCCACCCATATGATATAAAAATGTTTAGTCTATGGCATAATGTTCCTTATACTGTTCTAGAAATTTCGTTCAGACATAGTTTTCGTGTAGATTCCATAGATTGAGAGATAAAAATCAGCCGTTATAGCTAAAATTCACAAGATAACAGAGCCAATAAAAGTTTCAATTAGATTGACAGAACATAGTTGCATTGCTTTTCAATGACGACCGATGACTGTTTCATTGATAGATGATATTTTGAGAAATATGAATCCTCAGTGGACGTTTTTTTTATCAAAGGCAAGTGTCACTCGAGCCATAACAGCAATTTATAAAGTAACGAACATTTTGGATGGCTCAAGTGACACTTGCCTTTGATAAAAAAAACGTCTACTGAGGTATACACCCTTTTAGAAAACTAGTTCGCTTACGAACATGGATTTTTCACGCAAAGATTGACAGGATTTTTCGGTATATAGCGATCGAATAAGAAAAAAGTTGCCATGTTTCACGCATGCAGTCGAGCATCCAGTGACATTTGCTTATGGGATTTCTCCATAGGAGTAAAGAGTTACAGATGCTTTGTAGACGCGAATTAACTTACCGTTTCGACCCGATTTGCCCTCGGGACTTTTCAGTGGAGTAAAAAGGTACTATCCACTATGTTTCTCGAAACTGTCATTTGATTATGGGGTTTTTCTACAGGAGTAAAGAGTTGCAGACCCGTCGTCCTCGCAAATGGTCTCACTAATACCAATATAAAGTCATAATATAATAGCGAATTCGTTTATTATTCAGTTTCAACCAGGATCGGGTATCAAGATTGGGTCTGCTTGTTTGTTTTTAAAACCCAGCTCAGGTTGAAGTTCGCACTGACAAAAAGTTCGGTTTCGCACTAATAATAAACTCGGCCCATGGTTTTTATGCGCAAAAAAAGTTAAATGTTCTGAATTATCAATACAAGTGAAAAGTGTGATTTGAAATTTTAGGCTAGTATTTTACAAAGAGGTAGGTCCTTTCAATTCATGAAACTATCCAGTGATGACCAGTGTAGATTTTCGTTAGTGCAAAAATATGAAAATTTCACTCAACTTTTTCTTTAAAAAGGAGCAATAAATATACTGAATTTGTCCGTAAAATATGCAATTCTTTCACGGATTACAATTTTACTATCACATCAAAAAGTACATTGAGTAAACATAATTAAAAACCACTTTCATCACTTGGTCACAAAACTTTTTTTCCGATAGTGGGCCTAAAATGTTCAAATACAAGTCGGCTCCTCGTGGTGTCACTTTACGTTGGAAAGTTAATGGTTATTTAACTATTCTTGACATGTTTTTTTGCGCTATGTGTTATGTGTTTTATAATTCTTTTTTTTTTTACAGTTTAAGCTTTTGAACTTTTTAATTTTTTTTTCGTAATTATCTTTGTCCTTTTTGTGTTTTCAAGACTTTTTTGGCGTATTATATTACGTTTCCAATGCTTTGCGTTTATAATGTTTTGTTTGACAGATAAAACAGTAAATCGGTCCATTTGCTTTAGTTTGGATGAAATGTATGAAAATAATAAATAGCAATTCGTTTTTATCACAAAATTGTCACATGTAGCACACCGCGTTTGCCTCGTCACATCTATTGTAGAGAGTCAACATAAGTATATGAACTAACCTGATCCTCGGAGAATTGCATCCCGTTCTCTTCCATGCAGGCCCGCATCACATGTTGCAGTTCTAGGTGCTGTATCAGACCGTCACCTGTATTATTTCAAACCATCGCGTTCGAAAGAAAAGGGAAGCAAATGAAACGAATAGAGATAACATGTAAACCTTTGGGTGTTGTAGAAATATTCTGAGGAAAAACAGTGCTGCACAATGTTCACTACGAGCCACTACGAGAAAGGATGAATATTCTGAAAGTTTCATGAGAAGCGTGCACATGCTGGTACTGGTCGTGTAACGAGATAATGAGTCTGAGATAATCTGATTACTATCTTCAATGGTGATGATAATGGAGTCTGTACGTCGATGATGATGCTGAGCTTCATTGTAGGTTGTTCATTTGGAAGGTAGATAAGGAAATTATTTTTTAGTTTCGAGCTTCTGCACAACGCTCCAAGATGTGACCGAATGGATCGATTCTCATCGTTTCCGTAGTGTAGCGGTTATCACGTCTGCTTCACACGCAGAAGGTCCCCGGTTCGAACCCGGGCGGAAACAAATTATTTATTTTGTTGATCACATCTCATACCTAGTGATTATTTCGGGCAAATTTTCACCTTCTCGCAGCAGGTGGGTATATAATTACTATCGAAATAAATTAGGCAAAACCCGTGATCAAAAGTGAGTAATGGACGTTTGGGCTGTCAAATACTCGCCCGGTAATTACCTTGTTTGGTTCAAAAACATCCAAATCAGCTTGTAAACCAGTTCGCTGGTTACAAATCTGGCATCGTGTTTTGTTTTAACATACTTTTTTTCCTGTCTGCCGTCGCATTCTTCCCCCGGGGGCAATCCTTTTCCGTGGGGCAGTAGACTGATTCAGATATATGGAAGTTAGTAGGTTTCAGATTGGAATTTGAAATTTCTTAACCAAGTCGGTGCTGCAGTACCGTATTTTGTCTCGCTATGATAGCCTCGCGACTTTGGCGATCACGCGGTTTGATTGACAAGCCATTAATCTGAATACACTTTCGAGCGCTCATCGATTTGCTGTGAGTCGTTACACAAAACACGAAAGAGGTGTGTGCGAGGTCGAGCAGCAAGCCAGGCTAATGATCATCGGGTGGCGGCCTATCAAAATCACGAAAAAAAGGTTATTACGGTTTGTGCAGAAGCTCGAAACGTGACGTTCGAACAAAACGGTCATCGTGGGTACATGTCCAAAATGTAATACCCCGATAAGGAAAGAGCCACAGAGGGGAAGATCCCTCTGAAGCCGTGTGTGTCGGTCGGTTAGCTTGGTCAGTTACTGTTGGCTCATGGCGTTAACATTTCGTTGAGAAGGGTGGGAAAGTTGGAATCTGTTTTCCGAGTTAGTCGTGCGGATGAAAGTTTACATGAGCGATAATTAAAGCTTAATTGGTGCTAAATTAAATAGTAAATAAAACAAATTATTCGTATATACCATCCAAATCGTATACTTTGAATAAAAATTTAATTTTATCCTCTGGAGACTGCCCCGCGAACTGATGAATGGCATCGATAAACTCCTGTTGACGGTAGTGCGACAGAGAGAACAAACATGACAAAGAGATAAAAATATGATAAGGCTCGGAAATTAAAGCAATTAACGGTTGGATTATTTCGGGCTGCGCGCTGCATTTGCCGATACTTTACTTGCAGTGAAATGGACCCGGAGTTGTCCTTATCGAAGATCTGGAAGACACGCTCCGTAAAGAAGGGCTGCAATGATAATTAATGTCGTGGTGGGGAGGGAAAATTAAATCGAACGTTGTTTTGATTTTCGTTGTAGTGTGATATGATCTTACATTTTTGGATGTGACAATTTTCTTGAATTCTTCTCGTCGTATTTCTTTCTCGTTGCCGACAGTTTTGACGAAGAGTTGCTCTAGACGCTCCAGGGATGATTTGTCAAAACCGGTTCGGGGCCTGCAAAGGAAGAGGACATACTTTATTGATATTGATAAAATCTTGTTGCAGTTATGATTCAGTGTTATATAAAGCATACGATATTTTTGAGCGAAGTTGTGTTTTGTTTATGCCACATAATCATGACATTATGGACAATCTTCAAAGATGTTTTTTTTTATGTGTATCACTTAACTTTTATATTTGTCATATTTTTTGTTTCTGTAAGTAGCTAAACCAGTTCGCTAGCAACTGCTGTCGGTACCGGCAACAGAAATTGTTTTTATCGGAGTCAAACACGTTATCGACAGTTTTCATACTCGATAGAAGCTATTGTTTCAGATCGCTTTGTTTATGGCCTACAGTTCCATTATCGATGCTTATGGAAAAGCAGTGGAGGTACGCATGTTACCTGCGGTTGCAACATTCAACACGTGCAAGTGTAGAAACTCTCACCAGAAGCACGGCTGGGAAAGTACGGAAAAATCAAACGTTTCAACCGGTGGGAGGTTTTTACATGTACGCGAAGAACGTAATTTAATTTCCTCAATCGGAAGGGAAAACATATGTTATGACGGGATCAAAAATAAGTGTTTCTTGTTCAAGATGCAGGGTCACCGGATGAATTCCTTCCCTCAGCGGAAACAGCATGATAAACAACAGGCCGAAGAAAAACAACAGAACGAAGACAGTAACACGTTAAAGAGCAGAGAGCTTTTACTGCCCCTAATCTTATAGTCGACGTAACCACCAACAGCATCACTGGTGGGAAAACCCCTTTTTGTTGTATGCAGCCGAAAAGCCATATTTTGTAACAATTTCATTCAAATAATCTGTCCATTTGGTAAAGATTAACGGTCAGAAGTGGGCCGCTGGGCTTTTATGATTTTTTGCTTAATTATTTCATCTCAAAAACGCATACGCCAGGTTATGCGAACAAACATACGTTCTGCTGATGGTTTATTCGCATAGCTTGGCGTTAAAAACAGGTTACTGTGTTTGAAGTAGTATCAACATTCACGGTCACGTTGACAGATTTTCTCCAAAGCTCGTTAGATTCAGTGATAGTGAAAAGGAATTCAATTTGGAAGAATTAAAATGTCCGGAAGAGGTGCCCTGGATTTACTGCTGACCTATGGTAGTTCCGACTCGGAAGATGAGATTGATCTGGATCTGCCGACTGCGATTACAGACGATATACAACCACAGCCAGCCGTAGCAGCCGCACCGAGGCCAAGGCCACCAACAAAGCGAACCTCGGAAAAAACAGAGCGCCGGGAAAAAAGGTTATCTGACCGGAGGCCCATTTTGAAAGATTGTGGATGCAGAGCAGTGTGTTGCGGCAAAATTGGACGTGACAGAAGATCTGACATCAATTCATGGTTCTGGGGATTGTCGGGAACGGAACAAAAGTCGTTCGTTTTGCAGTTCAGCAAGCGTAGCCCTGTAAAACGACGGCGTGGCCAGGTGAATCCTACTACCCAGAACTTTCGGAGACAATTTTCCTACGATTACCAACTTGAAGACGAAAGAGGAGTACCACATGATGTATGCTGCGCATTCTTCCTGAATACGTTGGGCAGCAGGTTCGTATTTTCTTAGTAACAATAAATATCTAATTAAGGTAATCTTTAATCATGCTAACTTTAGCAACATGATCTATCGATACCACGACCAAGCGCATAAGGATGGAGCACCAGCAGAGAAACGTGGAAGATGCACCCGGCCTAGAACTCTTAAAGATACCGTCAAACAAGACATTTTCCGTTACTCACCGACAAACTCGCATTATCACCGCACGCGCTTTATCTGCCGTCTGACCTTTCGGCCCAGAAAATGTACGGTCTATTTAACGAGCGTCAGTTGGATGAAAAGGAATAAAGTTGCAGTTATGGGATTTATTGCAAAATGTTGAAGGCATTGAACATAAAATTCACACAGCTTGGACACGAAGAATGTGAACGGTGCCATGCCCATCACATCCACGAAAATCAAACTGGACACTCTACTAAAACAGACAACAACGAGCTAGAAGAAGGATCTTCTACAAACCGGACCGCATGCGAGATGTGTTTGAATTGGAAGGATCATATCGCACGGGCAATTTCGGGGCGGGAGGAGTACGACAGCGATCGGTCGAACGTGACGATGAACGGATCGGTTTTCTCGGTCGATCTTCAAAAGGTAACTTATAAATATGAATTTACGAGTCCAATTTCTTACTCATCATATTAATGCAGGTGGTTCAGCTTCCAAGAATGGAATCCTTTAAGGAGGTCATTTTTGCAAAAGGATCGTTGCTTACAATGAAACGTTTGCTCCACTGGGTGGCTCTCGGAACGGTCCCGTTTATGCTTTTTTGTGGAACGATGTGATTGCAGGACGAAAAGCTTATCACATTGCCAGTGTTTTTTACAAATTTTCTCTTCTCTTGGGTCCAAGTTCGTTATCACTTTGTGGCTTGATAACTGCTCGGCGCAAAATAAGAACTGGAATTTGATGGTCTTGCAGGCCTTGCTTATCAACTCTCCGGCCATTGAAACCCATCAAATTAATTTGAAGTATCTGGAGCCCGGGCATACTTATATGTCAGCGGATTCATTTCATGCATCGATTGAGCGCACGATGAAGCTTGTCCCTCGAGGAGAAGTTTACAGTTTCCCTGATTTCGTTGACTGCGTGGAAAAATCTGGAAGTGACATTAAGCCACAAGTTTTTGTGATGGAACCGGAGGATTTCTTTTAATGTTTATTCCAGTTTAAACAGTCTGTACTAACTAAGCTCAAAGACCGACCAAAGATGGCAAACATCAAACATGTCATCTTTACCAGAGGTTCTTTTGACATACAATATTCCTATAACCAAGGTTGCAAAGACTCATTTCAGCTAAAACAATGTTTTTCTAAATTATGAAATAATTAGATGCCATGATCAAATTTTGAATTGGTAGGATACAAGAAGAGGTTGCAAAGAATGTGTTTGACATATTAAACCTGTTTATTTCACTTCATGAGAGTCACAATCAGCGATTTTTCACAAACTCACTCACTCACTCACTCACTCACTCAGCGATCAGCAAATCGCTGATTGTGACTCATAGAAAGCAAAATTTACAGGTTTTATGTTTCCAACGCATACTTTGTAACCTCTTCTTGTAAGTTACAAGTAAAACATGCCATCATTCCATCTTTAGGTTTTATTATTCCGAAAAACATTATTTTAGCTGAAATGAGTCTTTGCAACCTTGCCTATAACTACAACGACGAAATGAAAACACTACAGATTCTGACGAAAAAACAGCTGAAGGAGGTTTCCAAACCGTCATTAAATTTGGTTGATCAGCTTCAACGCCAAACAGAAGCAAGTGGAATCCAAAAATCTCAGAAGGATATTATTATTAAAAAGCTTTTGCCCTTGATGCCGGAGGAGAAACGTGACTATTGGATAAATTTGCCAGAGACTCAATCAGGTGAAGATGTTTAGAATGGCGGTGTTGATTTAATCGATGTAAACTTGGACTTAAATATATACGTTGTTGTGATTTCATAAATATGAAGAAAAATTTTCAAAGAAAATAATTTGCAAATCGTTCAATACTTCAGAACAGGTCAATACAAAAATTATCATATTTGAAGAGTGAAAGCGCCTCGAACGCTATAAGAAAAGGTTCAGTACGTTAAACGGCTTGATGGCGTGTTTGACGAACCACGTACAAAGCTAGTGTGTATGCTGAATATTGAGAATGCAAAAGCGTGTAAAAGCAGCTTGAATGATATGGGTTCAAGTGTACATGTGACAAATAGCAGGATTTTTATATTTGAAATATTGCAACCTGTATGGAGGGACGTCATTTTTGCATTGAAACGGCACTTACGCCAAATCGTTTTCTCAATATTACTCACATGTTTCTGAACAAAAAAAATGAGTTTGCATGTGGAGTTTGTGTATTATAATATAACCATATTATGGTTAAGAATGCGTAGAAACAAAAAAGTGGATTTTGGTCATTGTGGCTCTTACGTCAACTATGCAAACATGGGCAGAGCAGTTCGTACGTTGTTGTGAGGTCCAGCTCTGGACAACAACAAATAAATAGAAGAAGAGGTAGTGATGCGCTCGAGGAAGAAGTGGTGAATACGGAAGTGGCAATCCTAGAGGCGGCAGAAGGCAAAGAAGAAGAATGTTTTACTTTTGAGAATTGGTTTCAAGTAATGAAAAATCAGTTTCAGCATACAGTGCCTTTGGCAAAACAACCTGATCAGTTAAAAAATTTTGCGCTCACTTTCTTAACAATTTTTCATTAAATAAGAGGCATCTATATTCCTTGAGAAATGGGCTAGTATGATCAGAAATTGACAGAAGTGTTCGATTGATTTTATAGAAAGCAAATAAAACAAAAGTCAGGTGTTACCAAACCGTAAGTGCCTTCCCGTACTATATTTACATTAGCTTTTGGCCTTTCGGTCTCTTCTCGTTTTCGACTTTATGTATTTCGATTTTCTGTGAATCTTTTATCCCCAAACCAAATCTATCCACATATTAGGACGAATCACCAGTTTCTTCCAATTTCCTCTGGAAATTTCTGTCACATTGCCCCGGAAGTTTCTTCTGTCTGCTCCGGAGAGGTTCATCTGATTTCTCCGAAAGTTTCTCCCGGTTTTGCCCGGAAGCTTCTTCTGGCGTCGCACGAACGTTTCTTGCGGCTATTCTCGAAAGTTCCATCTAATATTTTCGGAAATTTCTTAAAACTTTCCTAAAAGAAACTTCCAGCATCTCAAAATGTCTCATCCGACGTCACCACGAAAGTTTCTTCAGTCTTCGTCAAAAGTCCATTTGGATTCCACTGCAAGTATTTTGAACAAAAATCAGAGTTCCCCTGGAAATTACTTTCGGTTCTTCCGGAAGTTTCGTCCTGCGGATAGATTCTTATAATTCCCCCAAGTATATAAAATAAGATTATTTTCTGTTGGTAAATTTTCCGGGATGTCCCGGGAAGGAAACACTATGTGAGTGTAACAAAA